ATGCAGTGATGATATTGATACCTTGGAGTTTTGATGTTTTGATTTTTTTTAATTTTTGTAGACCTTAGAAGTAGTTATGTAGTAAATGTAGATTTTAGAGTAGCAGCATATTATCCCTTTACCCTTAAAACACCAGCTCAAACCCCTGTTACCCATTCCCCTATCAATTCCCTAAATTCCATAGCCTGTTTAGTCTCTTTTTCAAGGTAGAATTGTAGAAGAACACCCTAACCCTACGGAACAAGATACAGCCATAGACCCAACAACCTTCAGGCCTAGAATTCTGGAAGGCCTCCAAGGACATTACGTGCTCTGAGGAAGATGAAGATGAAGAAGAGGGGGTCCCAAAACGCCCCCAGACCCAATTCCCAAGAGGCGTGGCGGGGGCAGAACCTGGGTGGTGGCTGGACAGGGATTGGGTGAAAATCATTCTAAAAACTGTGGCCATCTCTATTTTGGGGGAGCGCACCTTGGGGTATTCCAGAAAGCCTGGGGGCTCATTAAAACTTTTGTATCCTTATCTTATCTCCTACCTAATTTGGCTTGGAGTCCTTTTTTTCCCCACAGCCATTTAGGCAACAATATGGAGAGCTCACTGCAGAGAGCAGCCTCTGAAGCTGGCAAGTATTTGTCTCAGATTTATCCTCCCATTTTTGCAAGCTGACTTTGCAGGGATCTGCAGGTGTCTTCCTTTGGGGCAGCACCCACCACAGCAGGGCCCTGGATGTTGCTACAGCCACACCCCTCAGCTACTGCCCCAATTCTACAAACAGGGTTTTTGTACTGCTGTGTCACTTGGACCCTAAAAATATATCCTGTCTTTCAAAGAGCATAATGGGTTTGGGTAAAAAAAAAAAAAAAAGAAGAAGAAGAATGTGTGTTCTTTACTGCATTTATCTGCCCTTAAGACCTGTAAATACTGGCAAAGGAGATGTAATATGAGATTCATCAGAGGGATTTATCAAACTGTTTATGCTTAGGAAAATAAGGGTACCTTTAAACTAGTTCTTGGAGCACAGCAAAGGAGGACTAAAACTGAAATCAAAGTACCTGGTTGGTTTGTTTGCTTGTTTGTTTAGGTTTTCAAATTACATTTGGCTCTTGATTAAACAGTTATGTAGTGTTTCTTTAGAATTAATGTTCCCTTTCTTTCCTTCAAAGGAAATTAGCCATTTACCCTGGGGAATAGCTTGTAGAAATACACTGAGATTGACAGAATATATTTAGGAGTCAAATGAGTTTTATCCCCCATTAACCTTACAGATTGCTATAATGAAGATAATTTTTTACACTGTCTCTCTTTCTATACATGGCTTCTATCCACCAGCTTGATTCACTTGTTTAAAGTATGTGCCACCCCAAAACTACATCTCTGTTGTAAAGACTTGCCTTTAAGGAGGCTTAGCAGGTAACTCCAACGGAGCATCAACCCAGGACGCTCACCTGGGAGAGACCAGAGCATCTGTCAGGGATGTGCCAGACCTGAAGTGGGTGAAAAAGTCTCCAACTTTTGAACTTATAGCTGCCAAAATCAAGCATTGGACTCCAAAATTTTCTAACCAATATGCTTCTCTTTTTAGTTACTTTTTTTTTTTTTTTTTTTGGTGTGGGAGGGATAGATTTGTTTTGCCTTGGAAAGCAAGGAATCTCTGAGGAGAAAAGCAGAAACCCCCTGACTTAATCTCTGTAAGAAGTTGTAACTGTGGCACCACAGTGGCTGTTGTCTACACTAGTCCCTCTTAAGTGAACAGCCATAAAAGATAACTTCTGTGGAAAACAGGTGAGCTCTGGTGCCATTGTTGGATTTCTTTGCAGCTAAATGTTGGAGAGTTATAATAATAGAAACCTGGAGAGAAAAAAAAGGCTAAAGAGTTTTCGAGTCATCTGTTATTTATTGTGTCAGGTTGGAAATGGGTGCATTGCAGCAAATAGATGACACAAAGAAGAGGAGAGAGAGAAAAAATTCAGCAGTGAAAAGTGCAGAGTATCTGATGTGGAGATACTAAAAGCAGCAGGGAGCCCTGGCTGTGGGCTTATATGCTAAAATTTTGGAAATGTTCCACAGATTCCAAAGTCCAGCTCAGGGTTTACTCCTTTTTTATTTTTTCTGCCTGTATTTCCTAAGGAAGCTGTACAGGCAGAGTTAGGTCCTGTTTGCAGAGTTATGCCTGAAGATCCAGTTACATGACCAGGATCTGTGCCATTTGGTTGTTAATGCCAAATAATAAAAAATAAAAACTACTTCTGAAAGATATAAAATTCTTCACCAAAAAATGTGGTTGGGTTTTGTGGGGTTTGGTAGGGATTTGTTTGGTTTTTTTTGTTTTGGGGTTGGTTTGTGGGGGATTCTTTCTTTTTGGTAGGGTTTTGGGGTGTTTTTTTGGTAAAAATAAATCTTAATTTAAGGAAAAATAAGCTATGGGATCTTCAGTGAAAATATAGCTGTATCAGTTTAGACTAGCTGAACATGCAGTTAATTAATTTGGATTTGGTGATGCAGGAAATATGCAAAAATTATACCTGCTAGTATAGAATAAAGTAGTGAATAAAAAACCAGTCAAGAATACAAAATGTGCCTTGCTTTCACTAAGCCCTGTGAAAGGTGCTGGTTCATTTACCTGTCCTGCCTGCTCTTGGCTGAGTTTGCAGTCTGCTGTACTGTGTCCTCTGCCCCTTGTCTGTCCTGCTCTGGGAGCTGAGCAGGCAGCAGTTGAGTCACTGGCTGGCATAAAACAACTCACTCTGCACATCCTTTCTTCATCCTCAAAGGCTGCCATAAATCTTTGTCACAGAGAGGGAGAGACCTAAGAATATTGGATATTGGCTTTTGTCTCTCTCTCCTTTGCAGAATTGTTATAATTTTCTGAAGAGCTATCCCTGGATAATTCATTTGTCAGCATGAGAGTTTTACTGGTTTTTAGTGTATTGGTTTATTCTTAAAGGAGGCAGAGGAAAGCCATCTGGAGTCCTTGTTGCTGGTTGCAGCAGTACAGCTCTGTACAAAGCCCTTCTGCAAGGAAAATCCAAATCTGAGCTTTTGTTTGGTCCTCATTTTCATGTTGCTCTAGTTTTGGCTGCCCACCTGACTGCCCATAAGAAAGATGGCCATAACACCACTACACTTTTTAAGACTGTCTCACTTTGTTTATAGAGTTCTTCAATCAGAAGGTCACTGTAGGTGTCTGCTCCAGCTGTTGCTCTGTTCTTTCCCACTCACTGCATTTACACTCACAATGCCCTTTTATTTATAGTTTCACCATTCGCCCAGCCTGGGACCATGACGGGGTCATTTGCCACTAGAGTTGCTTTTATAGGTTGAAGGTTCAAAGGGTGTTTTGTCCCTTTCATACAGAGAACTGCAGCTTGGAAAGGCAGCAAGGAAAAGGGCACTCCTTCCTCCTTTCTTCTGCCATGGAGACAGATGTCCTCTAAAATTGCACACAAGGTGCAACCCACATTTCAGATCTGCAGTCAGAGTGCCTGCTTTTTGGTCAAACTGCATTACTTGAGTACTGTGAGGTGGTAGAGACTTGCAGTTTATGCAGGGGCAAAGAGGAGCAACTAGGAGGGAGCAACTTTATCTCATCCTCCAACAAAGGCTCTGTTTTGCTGCAAATTGGCCCAAAGCTGGACCCAAAACCAGCTTTCTGCCAGCCTTGCTCTCCTGCAGCAGCTGGTGCAAGGCTTCTTCCTGCTGAAAGCACATCAAGGGATGAGGCAGAATTTCTGGGTAGAAATCTGAAGTGACTCTGATTCCTATTCAAGGCAGTGCTCTGCCTGCTGTACGACAAAATCAGGCTCCAAACAAGCAGAGAGAGGGTTTCTCCAAAGCACACCTTCTGCCATCTGCGTGCACCTGAATTCCTGCCACTTGCAGAGAGCCTGCAATCCGATATTCTATTGACATTTCCGAGCCTCGCCTGTCACTTTTTCAGCAAACTTCATCTGGATTTCAGGTTGCCCATAAAACTTGAAAGCGGCTTTAGTAGCAAGAATTTACAATGTGAACATCTAGTTAGGAGAGACCTTAGTGGGCCCCTTTAAAGGAGAGCCTCACCTTTAAAACTGAGTAAATAAGAGCTTCTATGAAACTTCCTCATGAAACTTCATTGAAAATATGAACAGCAATAAATCCACTGCTGAGAAAAATGGTAATGTACAGCTGGGCTCCACTCCTGCATAGCAATGACACTGGAAAAATCACACACATTTCCCTTTTCCTTCTGTGTAAATGGACCTTGTAAAATTTAAGCTGTACCCTCCCTGAAATGCCTTTTAGTGCTGCAAAGTCCTGGGCAAGGTTCAGCCCATGGGATCACAAATGTCAAAGCAGGCAAGGAATTGTTTGAAAATAACGCAGGAAATAGTGTATCACATCCATCCTTGTTTCCCCCTCCTCCTGTGTAAAAAAAAAAAGGATAAGTTCCACTTGCTAAAATGCTCATCTGATCCATCAAAATGCTTCTAAAACATTCTGCAAAACTGTGCTTATGTAGAGGATCTGGCACCCAAGTTCATTTGGCTAACCTATGCTGACAGTGTTCATCTGTAAATATTATGAGAACCAGGAGAATAAGTCCTGTGTGGTTCATTTCTGCATTTGTTTTGTTTTACTTCGCTGAAGGACCCAAGTCTTGTTTAGAATTTAGAAGAAAAACTCCACTAATTTTGGGGATAAATTCATCCTGTGTCTACCAGGCCATTTCCCTGAAAAAAATGGGGTAGAGTGAGAGTGTTATGCTTGTGCTGTATTATTTCTTAATGGAAGAAAGTTGCAACAATAGCTTGTACAGTGGACATTATTGAATGAGACAACTACTTGTTTCTCAACATTGACTGTAATCATTACTTAATTACAGCTCTCCCCCTTTCTGGGTAGATGCAAAAAGTCTGGGGGTTTTTTTGAGGTTTTGTTTGGGGTTTTTTTGTTTTATTTTGGGGGTTTGGTTGTATTTTTGGTCGGTTGGGTTTTTTCTGTTTGTTTGTTTTTAATTACACAGCAGGCCACAGGTCAAAAGGTGAAGGTTATACAAGCTGATTTCACTAAAAATTCAGTGTACAAGAACATTGAAAACAATCTGAAAGGGTTGGATATTGTTGTTCTGAGTGAGTCATTCAGGTCTGTTAATTGAAGAGTATTTTATGGCTGCAGTGTATTAAACAAACCCTTTTGTAAATGATCTGTCATAACAAATTAGCCAAAGCTGCCTAATGCATTTGAGCATTACTTATCATGAACGAGTTTTAAAAGTGAATTAGGATTCTCCAAAGCATTCTTCTTGCTTCTGTGTACAGTGGCTTCTTTCCTGTGACACCTCTTCTGCTGCTTTACAAGCAGCATCCAGCTTGTGGGGTGACTTCTTTTTCATTTGGCCTCAAGGAATTTATTGTCTCTGTTGGTTGTTTTACAGCTCTAGGCAGTTCTTATATTCGGTCTGAAATGAGCCTGTGGCTGACATTATCTGCCTTGATTCATGAAGGAACAGTGAAGAGATGGGGATTTGAAGGTTTTTGCTATTCTCTTTTAAGATAAACATCCTTTAAATAGTGAAACAAATGAAACAACAACAAAAGACAGACAAACCAACCCCTGAACTGTAGCATTAGTCTGTATTTCTGTTTCCTGTAGTCAGCACTGATCAGTATTGGTGACTTCAGTGAGAACAAGACCTGATACTAAACAGCATTTCTCTTCACATACAGCTCAAAATCTTCTGGGTCTGGAGGAGAAGCCATTTGTTTAACCAGATGAACTGTGGACTTTGTCTGGATTTGCTTCTTACCATTGTATTTTCTTTGACCAGTTAACAACATTGAAATAATCCTCTTTCATGCAGTTTCTTTAATGGACCAGGCATAGATGAAGTAGGATTATTCTGTGGATTTCTATTTCTAATGTAGCAATGAGGAGCTGTAATTCCATTGAACAAGGGACAGATTCTGCCCCTGCTACAATCAGTGTGTATTAACTCTTCAGTGGAGCTGGAAAAGAACTGGGCCTGAAGAAGCATATTTTGATTGGCTTCTTCCTTTACAAGAGCATTTAGTATTTCGTGCTTTCCAACTGATCAGGGTCTGTATTGCTCTGCTCTTTGCAGGCAGCATGTTAACAGGAACACGAGCAGTAGAAGAGCTTTGTAGTTTGTCTCAACCTTGGCTTTCACCCCTTTCATGTCTTTCTAAGCACGACATGAAAATTAACAGCAGGTGTTTGTCTTTCTTTGGCTAGCAAAATTTATATCCCAAATTTGTGATGCTGCTTAATGACTTCAGATGGAAAATTATGTAATATCAGTTGAAGCAAAGTTTGGTGAACTTCTTCCCCCTGGGATTTTCACAAACAATTCCCCTTCTTCCAGATTACAAAGAAGAAAGCATTCTCTTAACCGGCGCTCCTCATGGTTTGGTCCAAGTAATCTTTACATCTTTTTTTGGCTTTCTTTTCCCCTCTCTGTCTGGATTCCTGCTAGGATCCTGTTCACCACTTCTTGCAGCGTGGTGCCTGAGCTCCAGGTATCCTGGCTCCCACAGATGTCAATGGGATTGTCAGCAAAAGAAGGACCTTTTCCCACGTTTTCCACTTTACTTGGAAATTCCCCTTCACCCGAGCTGACGTGGCTGACCTCCTGTGTGAACCCCACACTGCACAACTATCCCACTGTGCACAGTGACACAATAAAAATAATCAATTGTTAAAATAATAAATTAATAAGTATTCAATTAAACTGCACCATTAATTTGCACTGGTTTTCATTACTTTTCATTCTTCAAAAGTTAGGCCACACTCTTATTCTGAGAAGACTCATAGTATGACCTCCCCATGGGACTTAGGCTTACTATGAATATTTCTTTTCAAATGCACAAACAGGAACAGATTTCTTACCTAAAAAATGGATTTAATTGCACTTTAAAAATCAGATGCCTGATTAAGTCTGTTGTTAAAATAATACTGTAAGAGTGGATGATTAAATAATTAGTATTTAAAAAGAACCTAAAGCTCTTTTTGGTAGCAGAAAAAATACTCCCTTTTCATGATTTTCTGCTATTTCTGATCCAGGTAGAGCCTGAAGTAAAAATGTAAAAAAGGACATGGAGCTGACTTTCTACTTACAGCTACTGGAGAGTGATGAAATTCAGACACTCTTGAAAAGCTTTGAATAAACAGAAGAATTCCACTGCTTAGAAGGCTAACCTTTGGAATTTTTTGGCAATTCAGATGATTTGCAGACCATTAGCATTTCTAAACTGTTTTCCAAAATTTTGAATGTGTCATATTTTAGCTTTGTGAGTTGTACACCTATGACTGGGGCTTGATCAAGTGAAGGATCCTGTGAATAAAACAGAATCAGTTGAAACATGCTATCAGAAAGAAGGAGAATGGATACAATTCTTACATTTGTAGTTCAACCTGTCAATGTCTTATAGATGACAAAAATAGTTTTGCAACAGGTGGAACCAAGGTAAAAATTATTTTTTGTACTACTTGGAATAGCTTTTAGCTGATACCTTCTGTGTGTTCAGGGGTGTTATTCTTTTTCATCATCAATTTCTGCACTTTACAGTCTGTCAGTCAGTAAGATTTCTTCTACTGCTGTTAGTGTTGTATGAGTGAATCATAGGAACTCCTACAAATTGTCAGTAAATTGTAGAACCAGTCAGAAGAATATAAAATACAGGTCTGTGTCCAGGTGAAAGCAACTAGGTGTTGCAGAAATAGAATGGTATGTGATGGGTCTAACTAGGCAAGAAATGTCATTTGAATATATTGCCATATTCTTTTAAGAGTGACAGCTGTGCTACTAACCAGAGAGATCAATTCAGATACGCAATTAAGGATCCCTTTTCTCCTATTAATACAATTTTTTTTATGTGGGGTCCCTAAACCAGAAGTTAGGCTCTTCAGATGGGATTTTCTAAAAAACGTGGTTAACTGCTGCATTTTAGAGGCCAGCCCATGCTTTTAGTTTTGGCAACAAAATTACCTCTTACTGTTTAATTGTTTTGTTTTGTTTTGTTTTCCTGGTTGTTGCTAAATGAGTTGGGTTTAGTGATTTGTACAGGGAGTTGTGAACGGGGAAGGTAAAACAGCAGATGCACGGAGCAGGAAAAAGAATGGGCTGGCTAATGAACAAAGGGCATCAACCAGTTACTGAGGAGCATAAAATCCTTCCTCTGATGGCAGTTTTTCTTCTGTGTTGGATGTGCAATAGCATGTACAACATCCCCACGGTTCTGATTGCAGTAGGCTTTTAAATTTCTCTTATGTTGACATTATTCCTATCTGGTTTAGGCCAAACTAAACAGTAAAAAGGAGGTCTTTGGAAAGTGCAATCTGCAGTATAATAGGAGAACTATGTCTTCTGCAGGGAAAAAATGTTCTCCATTTATACACTCTTTTACTGTAATAGTGTCAAATGTAAACTGAATGTCACTGTTTAAATTTCAGACAGAAGGGTCTAATTCTGAATCTGTCCTCTGGTCTGGGTACTTTCCCTTGTCCATTCTATACAATATACTGTCCATTCAACATATTGTCCATACAATATTCCTGTCCATTCTGTACAATATACTCAGCTTCTAAGGTAGGTCTTTCCTGTTGCTTTACAAAGAAATCCCCAACAAGTGTTCACCAAAACCTTGTAGCAGAGTAACAAGGTCAGGTTTTTAGGACTCAAAATAGTGTTGCTCCACTGAAATAGTGAAGTTGTGTGCATTAGAAGTGGCTGAGTAAGCTGTGTAAACCAAATCCAGCTGAGAGCATGCCTGATAATTGGAATAGTTTTGCCTTTGATTAAACAGTGTTACACCAGTGCTCACCACCTGTCCTCAGTCTGGAAAGTGATGGTGTTTACTGGCTCACTTAGCTGGTTTGCTTAAAACTGTAAATGCACAAAAGTGCTGGATTTTGCTTATGGAACCAAGAATACAGTTCCTGGTAGGTGGGTGAGTCGCCTGACTTCATAGATTTCGCTTTAAATTTTTGCTCTGAATTTAAATCCCAGAACTTATAAAAATGAGGAATGAATGATTCTGAATGAAACCCCAGAAGCAACTTGCTCAGCTTAGCTTTGCTTCAAATGACAAATTCTAACAGTAATTGCTTGAACATAGCTGAAGTTTAGATTGCTAAAAAAACCAAACAAACAAACAATATAACCCACCAAACATGTTATTCTTGGTAAGAAAGTTTACTCTTCTGTTTCCTTTTTCTCTTTGTAAAGTAAGTTTCTCATTACTCAAAATTTGAACTGTATTCAAACCAGACAGTTTCAGTTTCTTAAAAAAGTTTACTTAGCATCATTTCAAAGTGATATGGTACATTGGTTGCTTTATGTTGCCTTTTTTCATTCTTGGCTACCTTTTACCTTTGGGGTTTTCTTTTGGGTTTGTTTGGTTACTCAGTTTGGTTTTTTTAAATGCCTTTTTTTTGTTGTTTTTCTTACCCCCTGAAAGGAGACTATTTTACTTATCAGCATGCTAATGTATTATGCAATACCATGACAGTGTTGGTGTTAAAATGTCAAGACTGTCAAATGATGATTTTGAAACATGGTCATTTTTTCTCCTTAGTAGGACTTTTGGCTTTTTAATTACAGAGAGGTGATCCAATATTGTCAAGTTTCTGACTGTTTCTCAGAGATCTAACTCCTAAAATCAGTCTTAAAAGAAACCCAACATTAACACTGAGTTAGTGTATGTGTACTCTTCGTGGTGTGGAGAAAAACTTTGAACGATAAGCCTGAAAGACTGAAGGTAAAATCCCCTCTAATTCAAAAATACTTGACTTTGAAAATCTTATTTGTAGGCTATGCTACTAGGTAAACACTGAAGGCATGAATTTCATTTTGCTACCCTTTTTATTGCAAAAGAAACAGTAGTGAAAGTGTCTAACTGGCGTGGTGTCATCCAGAGAAGAGAGCCACATGAAACAACATCTGGAGAAAGTGGGACTTGGGTAGGTATATCTCTACCTTTTCACAAATGTGCCAAAGCTTTCAGTGCAGTCTGCAGTAATACTTGCTATGTGTCTGTCTCAGGCCAATGCCAGGTTCCATCTTTTCCAGTGCAGGAAAAGAATCAGTCTTGCTGTTGCTCCTGTGCACCAGCAGAAAACGTCTTGAAAACTTGATTTCTGTGTTTTCCACCACTGCACTGTGACTTAAACTGCATGATACTTGGCCATTTTTTGCTAAGGACATGTTCACACTTACTTGTGAGTATATGTGAGAATATTTAGTTTCCTATGCTGATGGTTTGGTTTGTTTTTTTTATATTCGAGGCTTTTATAAGCACTTTCTCCAAAGCACTACATGCAGAGTATAAGGGAAAGGGAGTTATCATATAGGAGATGCTGTATCTTGCCATATTAGGCTTCATTTTAGCAAACTCTTCAAGAATATTTGTGGTGCTAAAACCTATATCATGTAGCTGTTCTCAGTGTGCTGCTGGGTGACCCTGTCAAAGCTCTGTCTCCTCCCTGTATGCAGCTTTTTTCCTTATTCCACCACAGCACCATCCCTTAGTGCTGTTATAATTTACCAGATGCTGTGGGATTGCACAGAGTGAACAGCCTTATGTAAGTGTGAGATGGCATTACACTGTTACTAGGATTTATTCTTTTAGGTAATGACTCCTTTTGGTGTCTCCACTACAATGGAAATGTACCAAAACCCAGACCTTATTACAAAGGCAGCAGAAGAGTTTGTTGTTGAATCACTGGAGTGTGCCACCTCTGGAGATGAGATTTTTGGACGTTTAGCCCATGAAATTCTGTTAATTGAATTTGATTTGATGAGAAAGAAAGAATGTGTTACTAAGGCTGATATGGCACCAGTAAAATTTGAAGAGAGGAATACACAAGTAAAGCACAGCTGTAACAGCACAGTATGGTTTTCTCTGCTTATGTGTCTTGAGCTGAGTTCAGTTTGATACCTGGTTCATCTTTATCCTTTCTCTAGCTGCCTGTTTTCATGACCCTGTTAAGGAATTTTCTGAGACCTCTACTTGACAAGAATTGGCCAGCAGTTTCAGAAGTTATTAGTGGGGAAAAGGAGGGACATAATTTCCTTCTGATACCATACTGACACAATACCATCAATATTTGTACATGGCAGCTGTTAATGATGAGCATTAAATGAAAGTATAGGCAAGGGAACACATTTGATGAAAACTGAGAGGAATTAACATTTTGCTCTAAGAGAAATGTACATACTGAAAGATTAAAGTAAAACTTTTTGCATTTACTGCTTTCTGTGGCCTTTCTGAACTCTCAGTTAATTTCTTTCAGGAGTTTTCTATAACCTTTTGCCTTTTTATTGTTTTTGCCTGGTTATTCTGAAGGCAGTTCATCCCTTTTTGGGTGTTCCACAGTGACAGACTTCAAGAAGCAGTCCTGCATGTATTTACCAGCTGTCTGGTGGAGAAAACCCTAACAGAGTCATTCTTTTCAGAAAATGTGCAATGGGAAACCTCAGCAAGATGCACTTTACAGAGTGTCTGTGTGTGTGAATCAATAGAGTTTGAGCCAAAGCTCCATCTAAGTCACCTATCAAGTGATGTGATTTGATCCAGTGAACCTATTACAGAAATTAATGCCTGACCCTTTTCAAAGAGCATAAAATTTGCTAGAGCTCTTCCAGGGACTTCCGTGGGCCATAAATAGGCTCTAAGAAATTTATATTACTCTTTTAACAAAAGCTTGGAGGCCACAAATATTTATGCTTATTTGATGTTCTTTAATAAAACAGTAATTTGCTTTACTTCCAGCTTTTTCACAGTGTGTTTTCACGCTTTCAGTGAGTGTTTTGTTTCTTTGGAAAAGAAGAAGGAAATTTGCAAGAAGAAAAGGAAAGCTGTCAGAATGTAAAGTGCACACTGGACCTTTGGAGGTCTGCAATGAAATTATCAGTGGCATAAGGGCAATTATCAGTGGCACGAAATGTAACAAGGACAGAGCTGGGTCCTGCCCCTGGGATGGAGCTGCTCCTGGACAGAGTGCCCTTCAGTGCTTTAAAAGAGGCATCTGGACAATGCCCTTCTTAATGGGCTTTAACTTCTGGTCAGCCCTGAAGTGGTCAGGCAGCTAAACTAGATGATCACTGTAATCCTTTCCAACTTTCTCTTCTAAAATAGATTAGGCTATTCTATCCTTCTTAATCAGATGCATTTCTGTTTGTTAAAAATCAGTGATTTTAGTGTACATTCTCATTTTGCGTGCTTATTTAACTTCCTCATTTCAAAAAGTGTTTGTAAAGCTGCATTAAGAAAGCAAAGACCTTGTTAAGAAATAGTTGGGATTTTTTTTTCCAAGTGTGAGGAGGAGTCTCTGTAACCTTTGCCACACAGAAGGGAGAGAAATCACAAAATGTACCCTACTGGCTCCAGAAATACCTACCTGCTGCACTGAAGCTAGTAGGCAACATCTTGTAACACAGCATCATTAGGTCCCAATTTTCTGCACATGCCTCCTATACCTCTTGTTGTAAATCTCAAAAGAACAACTAAGGGTTGAGCTGAGATTTCTGAAATAACAAGAATTGCAATACATAAAATGATATGTATCTTTCCTGCAGCATAATCAGATTTGACCCAGGTCTGCAAACAGTGATAAAAAAATCACTTTATTCACATGGGCTGCCATGAACCGTTTCTGCCACTGAACTCAATGAAACCTCTGATACACTTCTGTTCTTTCATGTCAGAACTACAAATAAAATTATTACTGATTATTATCACCCAACACAGAAAACATCTGGAAGTGAAAATGAGACATCTGTGCTGGACATTTCAGTTTTTCTGGTTTCAAAAGCAAGGAATAGAAATGATTTGTTCATCACTCCATAAAGACTATGTTTTCAGGTGGGTAAACTGTATTCTTCCAAGTGTGATATTTGTGCAGCTGTGCAGCAAATAAATATGAAATATAATCTATGATACATATTGCATGTGGACCAAAAGCTGCTGAAGTCCCTGGGGGAAATGCACCTTGAACTGGGGGGCCGAGTGTGTAATGCAGAGTTTGTGTTTGCCATCAGTAGAAGTGCCTGTTCCTCCACGTGTGCAAATGCTCAGTCAGTGCATTCTCAGGTAGAAAACGAAATGCAGCATGTCTCTTCACCTTGTTTATCCACCCCATTCTATTTGCACCGTATTAGGCTGGGATCTTGTTGATTTGCAGTCCTCAGGGTGCTCTCTCTGGTGATAATTTAACCTAAGTCTGCCAAAAAAGGTTTCTTCTCCTTTGGCTCTTCAGAGGGGTTGGTGAGTAGATGAGCCATCAGTGTGTAAGCCTGGAAGAGAAGTGATCATGACTTCCTCTTCATTTTGTAGGCTGTTTGTTTTCTCTGAGTGCTAAACAAACAACTGCTTTTGCTGCTAAACTTGGGCCTGGTTGGTGGGTAAATGGAAACAGAGGGGGAAGATGCCAGAGTTTTTCCCAGTACTGTCTGTCTGGGGAGAAGGTGGAGGAGCAGACCAACAGGTCACCCCTTCTGCCTCCCCCACAGCACTCATAGCAAGGGATCTCCCCTTTTGTGATTAAACATTGCTAATTACAATAAAAATGTCTGCATTCTCTCTGTGGAAGGATCACCATTACTCCTGTTTACGGAGTGGGAAGAAGAGGTGCAGAGAGATGAAACCCCTGTCCCAAGCCACCCAGAAGAAGGAGGATGACCTCAAGACAAGCACAGTTCATGTCTCCTCAGCCCCAGCCTGCGAGGAGCCTGGGCCTGTTAAGGAGCCCCATGGCTCAGAAAGTTGAGTGTCTTCAAACTGAGTAACAAAAATAATGGCTTTTCACCCAGAGCCAAACTCTGCTGTGCTTATGCACTTTGACTCCAGCGAGGAGTCTGATGGAGAACTGCCATCCATGCCTTCAGTGGAGGCAGAATGGTTTGTGTTGGAAGAAACCTTCAGAGATCACCTACTCAACACCCCTGCCACAGGCAGAAACACCTTCAGCTAGACCAGGGTGCTCAGGACCCTGTTAAGCCTGGCCTTAAACATTCCCAGGGCTGGGACATCCACCACTTCTCTGGGCAACCCTTTTCAGTGCTTCACCACCCTCCCAGTGAAGAAAACACTCTTTATATATAGTCTAAATCTATCCTCTTTCAGTTTAAAACCAATGCCCCTTGTCCTGTCACTACAGACAACGATAAAAAGTCTCCCTCTTTCTTACAAGGCTGCTTTATATATTGGAAGGACACAGTCAGGTCTCCTTTGATCCTTCTTTTCTCCAGCCTGAACAACCCTCTCAGCCTGTTCTCAAAGGAGAGGTGCTCCAGCCCTCTGACTGTCACTGTGGATCTCCTCTGGACCTAATCCAACAGGTCCCTGTCTCGCTTGTACTGGAGCCCCCCGAGCTGGATGCAGCACTCCAGGTGCAGTGCTCCTCTGTTCTCTCTCACCAGAGCAGAAGAGCACAATCAGCTCCCTCAGCCTGCTGGCCACTCCTCCCTTGGTGCAGCCCAGGGTAGGGTTGGCTTTCTGGGACCCAATCCCCAAGTTCTCCAGAGGGCTGTTCCCAATTAATTTATGCCTCAGTCTGTATTCATGTGGGAAATTGCCCAAGCCCACGTGCAGGACTTTGTACTTGGCCTTGCTGCACTTCTTAAGGCTCACATTTGCCCACACCTCAAGCCTGTCAAGGTCCCACTGGGTGTCATCTCTTCCCCAAGTGTGTCAACTGTGACACTCAGCTTGGTGTAATCCACAAACTTGCTGAGGGGGCATTTGATCCCTTTTTCTGTGTCAGTGACAGAAAGCTGGGAAACTTCACGAGGTCCATCTGGTCAGGCTTGTCCTCCTTCAGCTGCTTCAGCAACTGCCCACACACTGTTTGTATGCACGTGCCTGGTGTGATGCCACAGTGCTGATGGTTTTGGTTGCCTTGAAGTTGGTCTTCAGTAATTTCCCCAGTAATGGAGAAAATCTGATCTTTCTGACCTTCAGACTTCTCTCAGGTACCACAGTGCAAGTGTTCACCAAGGGGTTTGGATGTGCTGGGCCAATATAGTGTTGAGTGTGGGTTGGGTTGGTTTTCTCTACTTTTGACTATTTTTCTGTTTGTTTTTCCCCAAAATCACTATTTTTTTGAGTGAAGCTAAAACAATTTTTAGTTACGGGATGCAAACAGCAAATCTTTGTCTCACACTGATTTCAGTTATTTCACTAGTCACGTGCTCAGGCAAAGAAGAGAACCACTCCAGTAAGAAATGTAGTTAGTGAGTCTGCAGGACCCCTAGATTAAGGGAAACGGGCACTATGCAGTGCAGGATTGCTTTTAACAATGTTTTACTCATTCAGTGGGTGACATCAGTAATCGAGTCAAAGCCTCACTTTCACAAGGATCAGGGCTTAAATCTCTCTCTAGGCAAGAAATTTACAGCAAGGGAAAAAACCTAAACCACTGAACCCTAATGTTGTAAACAGTCTGTTATCGTGACTGGTAATACAGACAGGGCTCTACTTGTCTCAGGGGCCACCCACCAGAGAAGAATGTGATGTGGCAGCTTGCCTGAAGAATGAATTTGCGATAGCTGCACGACAGAGCTGCAGGAGTGGGGAGCGCCTTGCTGAGGGAGAGGCTGAGGGCACTGCCCTTCCAGTGACTGCTGTGTGCTCTTCAGACAGCGTCAGTCCTCCTAAAACACAGAGTCTTCAAACAGTCTCCTGACTCTTCTGCTCTGTCCTCTCTTCTTTCCACCATAATGGCATCTCAAGAGTCACAAATTAATCACAGCTTAGTTAAAGGGCAATTGTCTTCCCCTCCCCACCTCTTCTTTTAAAAGAGCGTTCTTGGTTGGGAGCAAACATGAGCAGACCTCCTGCACGGTCTTGCAGCCATAGTGGCATTTATCTTGGTACATCTGGGTTTCTGGAGCCCAAGGCAGAGCTCAGCATTGCGACCCAGGGCGTTCCCAAGACCATCAGTCACTGCCTGTGGCTGCGGCACGACAGGCACCTGCTGCAAACTGCCCCTCAGCATGCCCCTGCATCCCCTGGGACAGCTGTAACACAGGGAGAGCTGTCTAAACCACATTTTCAGTCTTGGATATTAAAGCTGGATACCTGCATCCACAGTGACACACCTGGGTCCCCACTTCAGAACAGTATGTGTGATCTACACTGAAACTGCTGTTCAGCTTACTGAATGAGCTGAGAGAGTGACAGCAAAAAACACTTCTGACTAAAGTCTCCTGCATTGATTTTGGTGTATTTTAACCTTTCAGAAATTACTAAAAACAAGAGTGGCTGAAATGTTATATAAAACATATTTCTAATTAAAGCTGTGTAGATTTCTCCAGTGTGTGAAATCCAACTGAATTTGGGCGGTTCTGCCTCTCCACAATGTTTTGAGGTTTTGCTTTTGGTGATTTTGGTTGGGTGCTTGTTTGCTTGGTTTGGGGCTTTGGTTGGTTGGGTTTTATTGTTTGCTTGCTTATTTGTTGGGGGGTCTTTTTTAGGTTTTTGTTCTTTTTGGTTTGGTTTGGTTTTTGCAGTGTTTTGGGTTTTGGTTGGTTGGTTGGTTGGTTTTGTGGGGGGCTTTTTGTTAATGTTGCCAAGAAAGAGATCTACATGAGAAAAGAAGTCTGGTAAGTGTTCCTGGCTACTTGCTCAGCGAAGAAAAACACAGGAAAGGCAGCTGGCCCAAGAGGGCTATTACATTCCTCTCTCCCCTTCTCTTCCCTCCACTACTCTGCAAACTTCAGAGCTGAATGGTTCAGAGAGAGTGGAGAGCAAGGTCAAACACAGCTTTACACGCCCAAGTCCCACCTTGAGAGCTTTGCTAGCACGAGGGGAGAGTGCAAAATCTGCTGGAGGAGTTTGTACCTCCCAGATGGACCAAGGCAGCCAGGACTGCTACTCCCTGAGAACAGATTTGAAATCTATCGGGCTTTCCCGGGGAACCTTTTGGAAATTCTGTGCAGCTCAATGGTTGTGGTTGCAACTGCCCAATGTGATAAAGGCCTGTTTCAGTGCAGTGAGAGACTGCTGAAATGCTGTGGCCTAGGAGGAGATGTCCCACTTGCTGCATTGTTAGCACAGTTTGTGCAGGGGAAATAATCTTCAGTGACAGATCAGTGAAAATTAAATAAACGGGCATCAAAGTTCTTATCACTGTCTTCAAATACACTCTGACCTAGAAATTACTATACAAGTGACTAGTGGAAAGAAATAATAGTAAAAACATATTAGTAAAGGAAAGGAAGAAGTCCAAATATGCTTTGCTTTGATGGAGACTGAAGCCTTTTTGGAGTGCCTGAAGTGGAGCAATGGAAGGGAAGTGATCCAGGCTGAGAATGATGCTGGTACAGGGCTCAGCAGGTGGTCTGACGTGATCATTAGGACCTCTGGGGCAAAGTGTCCCCCCCCTGGACTCAAGAACATTTATCCCACATCAGAGATACTTAGATGTGAAGCCACTTTCTTGGAAGACTTATTGCAGGCATAGGGATGGCTGGTTAGTGTTACTGCTGTTTAATGGCTCAGAATATGTTAACACTGCAAGAGCTGGAAAATTTAATCCTTTCCCTACAGATTGTACAGCCTGAAGTAACTTCTTTAAGAAAAAAAGATGTGGCCTATAGTAAGATTACAGCTGCTTCAATTCCCCTGTGCAGCCTGGGCTAACTTCTACAAGTGTGCTTTAGAAAGTACTGATCTGTCAACATGGAAAGCAAGGCAGAAGAAAGATTTCCAGTGACCTCAGTGGGCTTTGGCTCAATCCCTAGTGAGACAGACTGGATCAGCATAAACCCAGAAATCTGCTGATAATGGATATTGTATTTCAAGCAAAACTAAAGTGTTGTAATCCATCTTGTTTAGACACTCAGTCCTAACAGGGGTTTTTTAAGCAACACGGATTTCTTGCGGGGGAGTGGCTTGGCTGAGCTAATCAGACCAATTAATGCCTCTCACTGAACATTGAACTGCTATCACAGAAACTAAGAGATGAAAATATCAGCTCTTAAATGCTGATGTAGGGCAGGACCGCTGCGGCACTTTCTGGGGAGGAGGTGTGGACTGACCCGACCCGTGGGCACAGCAGGGATGCGCTCTGCATCCCATTTGAGTAAAGCGAGAGCCGGGCTGGCCACTGAGAGGTGCTGCGAGAGCGTTGTAAGCGGAGCAGGAGCAGCAGCACAAACTCCATCCTGTGCCCGCAGGGAGAGCCGAGCGCTGCTGGAGCCTGCGGGGACGGGGCTCGCTCGGGAGCACTCCGGGCTGCACAAAAACCAGAACGAGTCAGGGCTCGGACAGCAAATTAGGTCTTTAGGCTTCGCATGCGCCGCCCCATGAATAAAAAAGTTTAAAAACTATGGGGGAGCCACGCAGCTATATGAACAGATACCTCGGGAGGGCACTATGACCACAAAATAAAACCCTGCCAGGCTTGGCTAGTGTTTTATTCCCCCGTTTTGTTTCACTAACGGCACTGTAAGCCTTGTGCACTCATTCAGCTGCTCTATCCAAAAGTACATCCTGTATTTTCCTATTTAAAAGGAGTAACAAAAAGCCTCCCAAAAACAAAATGCTGATTTCAAGGGTGTTTTTTTTCTTAGCCAGAACTCCGCAAAACCCAGGTAAAGACATCACGGGTTGTGACGTTTTGCTCTGACCTCAGCCATACAACAGAGCACAGCACGTTTCAGCTCCACACTTGGCTGGAAGGTCTGAAAATCCAGCAGGAAGTCCTGCCCTTTGTACACCTCTCAACAGCACGCCCTGCACATTAATAACTTCCGAAACTGCCGACGGGGCAAGCTCGCACCAGCAGCCCCTGATGTCAGCACGGGGCTGGGGAAGGACCAACACCACAGGAGATCAGCCCATCGGGGCACACCTGGTCCTGGTTTGTGTCTGCTCTGCTTGCACACTTGGGTCTAAATCCCCCTGTGTTGCTCTGTTCCTACCCACATGTCTGGGAGTCAGATCATCTGGCTGCTTTATGGGCTCCTATCTCTTTGCACTGCGCTCCACACAAGCAGAGGCACTTCTGGGTCTTGCTCTGGTAGAGCAAACAATGATATAAGTGGCATTAGGTGAGCAGAACATCTTTTTGCCTTTGCAGAACACGAAAGAATGTTACATACCTTCTCACTGATCAAAGGTGGTTATATTGCCCTGCTTGTTACACATACGGATAGTTTTATTTGTCTAATATTTACAGCAGATACGGCCACTTTAATCTGAGTTGTTTGTCTGTCTTTGGACAATAAGGCTTAGTGCAAAAATGTAACTGAATATTTATGCTTTCTTTTTATTCCAGCTTGGGTCTTTGCCTGTGTCTCCTTTCCAATCCACTGTACTCCCCTACTCACCAGCCTGTGCTTACCAGCACTGATGATTTAAGGTTGTAGTCACACATCTCACTTCAGACAGAATGGATATCTCTCTTTAAAGACCTTTAAGATGAAGATAAATTAAACCTGTTTTCCTAGCACGAATCAAACACTTTGTAACTTCGGCCAAGGGCCTGTCTCTCCTTGTTTCTCTCTTCTTTCCTGTATTTTACAGTGGAAAAATGTCTGGTTCACCTGGAAAGAAAGCGTTTTACTGAATAAAGGTATGCGTATTAGGAAAGCATCTAGGAGAAGAAGGGAACCTGGAGACAAGAGGGGTGTCTAGGGAAAGGGATGACAGATTTACAGAAGAAGTGGACCTGGTGGCAAGAGAAGCTTGGAGAGGTGTCTGCGAGGTGTGAGTTTTGAACACAACCTCCAGTGAGACAGCCTAAGAATGAGACCTGGAGACACAAACATTAGGAATGTGTCAGTGTGTTGAAGCTGAGGGGCAAGAACAAAGACCTAGGAGAGCAAAAGGTGCAGGCATGAAGACAGAAATCAGCTTGTGAGGCAAATGCCTAATGCCCAAGGGCGAGTGGATTAAGTTTCTGTGGAGGGGAAATTGAGAAAGCAGCAACAGGTGAGTAATTTGTTACTGGCTCCTGTGCTTTGAGAGCAACCACAATCTACAAGCATTTCAGTTATTGTCCCATTGATTCTCCACAAGTCTGCAGGATTGTGGAGTTATGCTAGGAGCTCATTCCTGGCCTCCCTTATTCCTAACCATCCTAAACCTTCTCACTGCCACGAGGCTTGAAGTGTGTGTCCATTAGAGGCTAAAACCCAGGCCCACTGCATTTCTTCTTTGTCCTTCTCTGCAATGGTGTGTGACACAAATGTGACTTTGGAGGTTGTGTGGCCCCTGCTGCGCTCAGCAGTGATCTGAGTGCATTTCCTCCTCACCAGGGCACGGCAGCTGCTGTAGTTCTGCATTTTTGAGACACACTGCTTTGTGATGTGAGCCACTGAAACGCTCTGCTTTTCCTAGGGAAAGGGCAATTTCATGTTTAACTGTGTCTCCAGTTTTGAGAGTTTACAGTAACTCCACCTGAGTGCTAAAAGTATTTCTTCCAATCAGTTTCCTGGGGCTGTTTCTTAGCAACACAATGTAGTACAGACCACAGATTACAGTTTTAATTAAAAGTTGAGAATTTTTTGTAAGGAAGTTCTCCAGACTGTAATGACTAAAAGCTTCTGAAGATGTTGTGTGTATATCACTCTTAACCACTTGCACCCAAATACAATATGTGAGTTGCTCAGAATGGATAAACAAAGCACATTCTGCCCTTTTTTTTTTTTTCAGCAATAGTTTTGAAAAGGAGGATGAATTCTGTACCAAAAAAAAAACCAAAAACCAAAACCCAGCAGAAGCTCTTGGTGTCTGAAACAAATGTTCGCAGAACTAACTATCCTCACATGCTGATTTTATAGATCCAGGCTTTAGAAGGCAGCTTTCTTCCCCCAGAGCCCCACCCACATAATAAATCAATAAATAGATCAATAAATAAAGTAACCAAATGCCTCTGCTGCTGATACACAGTAGATGCCAGCTTCCCTTCCTGTTCTGTCTGGCAGATTCCCATGAGCGGCACAGGGTGGGTGGCCCATACACTGGTAATCACCTTAATTTCCAGGGCTGCCTCTGTTATTAAACCATGACACTGATCCCATCTGGATTACAGAGACCCATTTTACTGATGAAATCACAGTGAATTTCAGCAGAAGCTGAATAATATTCTCTCAGTATTGAATCGCTGTGTGGATCTGGCCGTGCTTGCAGCATGGGCATATGGCAAGCACATGAACAAAATGCTGTACTCTCAATCTATTGTTTTACTTCGTTTCCAGCAGTTTCAGTCCAGAAAAATCCATTGCTAATAAATTACTCGTGATGGTTTGTTAGGAGGAAAAAGATGTTATAGCAGAAGAACATCCTCCCCTCCTTGTTGCCTGCCTTCTGAGATGCTATTAATGTTGTACACAAACAACTTTTTTTTTTTTTTTTTTTTTTTGTTAAATTATAAGCAAGTCTGGCAAAAAGAAAACTCTGTAGTGAGGCGAGTTTTATCAGGAAAGATAATGTCCTTTGTTAGACTGAGTGTCATACTTGAACAAAAGAGACACATATGTCCTTCTTCGGTTTCTAATGTAATAAATAATATTGCCTCTCCTGACAAACCTTGTCTGCTTTTAACCTTGTACCTTGTTTCACAGCTACATCAACACAACTGTTAGTGTAATGAATTCATATACTTGTGAACAATGTTCTTAGATACTTGAAGCTGAAAATTTCAGATGTTGCTTTTGGAGTTTCTGAGGATACACTCTCAGCCATCTCCTTTTTTTTTCTTTTTCTCTCTCTTTTATTTTTTTTTTTTTACATTCCCTAATGTTACAGGCTTCACAGTAAAAATGAAAATCACTGTATTTTCAAGACTTCATTTTAAGTTTTAGATTTGCACTTGGGATATTCTCTGGTGTAGACACAGACCTCTGCTTAATGTCAGCAACAGGTTTTCTTTCCTTAATGGCTTCTTAATGACTCTATAGAGACAGTCTCTGGCTCCCCAGGAGCCATATAATTCCTGCACTGGGCATATTCTTAATCCCATTTAAATGTGAAGTAATTTGCTACCTTTTCTCCAAAAGAAGGGCCACCCAGCACTGTCTGATATGATGGGGGTGCTCACAAACACAGCAAGAAGGTGAAAACTGCTTATTCAGTGCATTTTCTCACCCTATTTCACACTCTAGCACACCTAGCTAGTGCATCTGTATCTGTGCTGAGGAATGGCTGCCTCCTGCTTTAAATCTGTTCCTGCACATGGATTTGGCCTTCTCATTTTTCTTCATCAGCCACTTCCTTACGACACCCTAATTTCTGTTGTAGGATGCCTCTCCCCTGCCTGGGGAAGCGGTGCAAAGCCTCTCACAGGATCTGAGGTGCTTCCCCTCTGCTCTGGGCAGCACTGCCTGCCTCCACCTGGGACTGGCAGCCGCACGGGGCATCCCTCCTGCTGCTTCTCACAGGACTGCTCTTCATCCCTGGAGCTCAAAAACGGTGCTGCTGACCCTGGCCTTGAGCAACACGAGCCTGTTCCACGTAATGTGACGTGAGGTGACGGGCCAGCCCCTCTGGGGATGAGGAGTTGCCCCAGGTTCCCCCACTCATCGCGTTGTCCGCACGCAGCCTGTCCACACAAACGTGGAACCCCGGTGATTTCAGTTTCAGGAGTCACTTTCTCTGCTGGATGTTGGCAGCATCGTTCAGGAGGAAGGCAGAGCTCCTCCAGGCCCCGGTGAGCTGCTCACACACCCTGCTGGGGTGAGTGTGCCGATGGTTCCAGCAGCGCCAGGTGCAGCGTTGGTGCAGGGAATGCTGCCCCTCAGCTTGGAAGTCAGCGTAGCCCTGGGCTAAGCCCAGCAGCCTCTGTGCCATGGCAGTCCTTTTCCACTTCTGGGGGCACTAGAGGCTTCAGCATCCACGTAAACAAAGTATATGTGAAACACATGTCGTATCTCCACACACATGTGTGTGACATGAATGTTTTGAGACTGTGGGGTCGTTTATAATCCTATTTGGGTTTTTATTACCAAGCAGACACAGTATTATTCACGCACACAACTTGCATATTCCCTATTATTTTCAGCTGTTATAAAGTAATAAATGTTCTCATGCACCTGGTCACAGTGGTGCTGCAATTCTTGCGCGTTTGCCTTTCTCCCACCGTTTCTTTTAAAAGTTCAGTATTGTTCAAAAAGTTTTGGAAGTGTGAGAATTATTTTGCTCCCATAGAAGAAAATAAGGAGTTTGCTGGGTAAAACGCTTGCCCATCAAATATGTGCTCTGAGATAACAATATTGGAAAAGGAAAAGGAAATAAGCTTATGGCTTTTTCAAATATTTTCCATGGTGTTACTCTAAATATTTGTATGATGTGCAAAAAAAAAAAAAAAAAAAGAAAAAGAAAAAAAAAGGAAATACCAATGGACCTGCCATTCCACTGCAATCTTGTTGAGACAAAATTCTGCATGGTGTTTTAGGAGAATGACAGACAAATGGCATTTATCCCTGAGGTATGTTTCTAGCTGCCCTCCCCCCTACCCCCAGCAGTCTGTGTGGTGCACTGACATCAATTTGTACTTGTGGGAGTTCACTACCACATAGGGAGCGATTGTTGCCTTTCAGGATGCAGCTTTTTTCTTTTGAGACCATTAGTCTTTGCTATCAAGCCCAAACACTGGAAAAAATGGGGAGAATAAATCCTACAATGGTGCAATTTACAAAGCGTGAAGCTTTAGGATATTAAAATATACTGAAAAGGGTCTTCATTTTGTTGGGCTCCATCATGTCCTCTGCCTTGAACTTGACTCACTCTAATTAATATGAAGTTTCCTGGAGTCAGGTTAAAAAAAAAAGAATGGAATGAGGCATAAGGGACATTTAATCAGGCAAATGTCTCTGATACCAGGAAAGAAGGACAGCACTAAGGAAAACCTGTTCCATTGGAACACAGTAGTTCAGAATACATTCGTGCTTGTAGAAGCATAATAGTCTTTTGTTCTCCATCTAGACATATTTTGGAAGTGTAATAAGAAGTTACGCAGTAGTTTCTCATCAGTGTCCTGGGTGTGTTCTGACACAGCAGTATTTTAGAAATGACATTTAGCATCTAAGATGAGATGAAACGTAATTCTTCAGGTTTATGATCGTGGGTTATAAAGACCATGAGTGATGGTCTGGAAGAAAGGCCCTGGCAAGGAGGATTACAGTGGATTTTAATAAGACTTTGGAATGTAATGAGGGTACTTTTGACGTCTACTGTATTTTGGTATCTTCTTCTCCCTCAGTGTGTTCCAGGTAGCATTAGAAAAGCTGAATGAGTGTTACTGTGCCCATGACACTGTGCAGAGTTAACTGCTGGATTGTCCCCTGGGTACAAGGCACTGCAGGAAGCCCTGCCACAGGGTATAGCATCCCTGCAGCTGTGGGGCAAGCCAAGAGAGCACGGGCACACATGTGATGGTGTGTTCTGATGGTCCATGTCTGCTCCCCTTTCTGCACCTGCTGAAAGATCCTTTACCTCTGAATCACTGAATGCCACATTGACTTCGGGTGGCAAGGCAGTCATTAGTTCCTCCTTCTGCCCTGCTGTTGGAAAGACACTGTGGGAAAGGGAAACTAGGTGCCTTTCTTGCTGGCAAATGTCATGGAAGGGGTTCCTTGAAACGGAACTGTTAGCCAGAGCAGATACCCTGGTCGTGACCAGCAGGCTTCTCTAAAAAACATCACAGTTTTAATAATTATGCTGGCAATTCTTCTTCCTCTTTTTTAGGTGGGATTCATTCATGATGAGGGGCTTGTGC